GGGCATTTAAAGGAACTAGAAGGGATTTGTCCCAGTTTATTTTATAGCCAGAGAAGTGATTAAACTGGGTGAATACTTTTATTAAGGAAACATAGGAAACATGTATATTAGTGAAATATAATAGTATGTCGTCTGCGTAAAGAGAAATTTTATCTTGTATAACTTGTATAACTATGGGTGATATAAGAGAATCTAGTCTAATCGACTGTGCTAACGGTTCTACTGATAGAGCAAAAAGTAAGGGGGAAAGTGGGCAGCCCTGACGGGTACCACGATGCAGAGGAAATGGCTTTGACAAGATATTACCCGTTAATACAACTGCAAGAGGATTAGTATAAAGTGTTTTGACCATAGATATGAAAATTTTACCAAAGCCAAAATTCTCCAAAACTATCCAAAGATACTCCCAACTTACCCTATCAAAGGCCTTTTGCGCATCTATAGTAAAGACAGCTGCAGGTAACGCATCCCTTTCAGATGCATGAATAATATGTAAAAAACGTCTGACATTATCGGATGCAAGTCTCCCTTTTAAAAATCCAGATTGATCAAAATGAATTAGTTTACTTACGGATAATTCAAGCCTCTTGACTAAAAGCTTAGCAAAAAGCTTTAACTCTGTTGTAATTAAAGATATCGGCCTATAACTACCACAATTCAGAGGACTTGCCTTTCTTAAGCAACACCGAAATAAGTGATGTGTTTTGATCACGATGAAATGAACCAATGCTAAGAGCATGATTGAAAGAATTTAGGAGAAGTGGTCCAATACTGTCCCAAAGTTCCAGGAATAGCTCTGGAGGAAAACCATCCAATCCTGGAGATTTACCTCTTTTCATTGAAGACAATGCATCTTTTAATTCGATAATAGTGGGAGGTGTATCAAGAAACTCTGTTTCTTCATTGGACGAAGAGGGTAAAATTAAGCTTCGAAAGATACAATTTAAGAACAGTTGGGTCAAAAAACGATTCGGCTTCATACAGATTGGAATAAAAATGTCTAAAAGTATCATTAATTTCCTCTGCATCATAGGTAACAGGTCCTGATGGGATTTCGATTGCATTAATAATAGAAAATGACTCATTCTGCTTTATTTTCGCAGCTGAAAGTCTACTTGAGCTTTCGCTTTGACTATAGTAGGTCACTTTTGTATGGTGTATTGAGAATTCTGCTTCTCAATACACCGTATTTCAGTAAGTTATTTAACTCAAATTTCAAAGCTAGAAGGGATTCCTGTTTTTGCTCAGAAAACTGACGCTTTTGATCTGATTCCAATACTTGAATTTCCTTTTCTAGTTGTGAAATTCTGTAGTGTCTGGACGCCTTCATATAAGAAGCAAATGCGATAGCTTCACCCCTAATAAAGCATTTGGTTGTTTCCCAGAGTATTTGGGGTGAAGATACTGATTCCCGATTAATTTCTAAAAATGTTCTGAGATTGACTTTCAATTGCTTCAGAAACTCTGAGTTCTGAAGTAACGTTGTATTAAAGCACCACCTGTGTGCACGTTTAGCAGACAGATCATATTTTCACATGTGACCAACAATTCCTCAACAAATATAAAATATCATAATCAAATATCATCAACATATTCATCTGACGGTGGTGACAAAAACCTGAATTTGTAGTCATTTTAACTATCAAATACATTGAATCAATCAATTACTGTATTAAAACAAACACAACAAACAGTGAGCATGTTATTGTTTATAAAGCTCTTTTTCAAGATTCACATTTAAGTATTTTGATGTATCATTGGAACACAAATGATCTATTTTCTCTCATCTCAGAACAGTATTTCTGCTGTGCATCTGCTATGGTAACAAGGTAACTTTTAAAAACATTTAAATGAACAAATAAAACAATTAGTTGTACCTCTATCCAATTACATTCACCAGGATCTTAAAGGGTTCGTTCACCCAATTTGCTTTTTGCGTAACCCTTTGACCACCATTCCTTGTCATTTCAGTGCCAGTTACTTCGGTCGTGACGTCTAATAATAACATAGTCCTGTAAGATGATAATGAACTATTATGGGATGAATGATGTGCAGCGTCTTACTGTGTGTGCGCATGTGATTGCAAATGACAAAGTGATAAAATATAATCAGCATTAAATACATTCACCCAACATCACCCCTCTCACTGTGTTCGTGCCACCCCAGGATTTCCAAAGAGTGTAATCAGAGATGTATGGTTCACACTACCTCTTGGAGGAAACAAGAGTTTTTGACAGCAGGGCGGCAACATCTCTCTGCCATTCTCACATGGTTCTGAGTAGCATTAAGAACAAAGCCTGCTGGGATGTTTCTGTACCTTCGGGCAAACTCGTACACATACCTAAGGGGAAAGAAAACAACATATGACATCAATGCGGTAAATCAAAGCCCTCCAAGACATGATTCATAAAGGGCACAGCATATTCTGTTACCCTGTTAGTAACTTCTAATCAGAAATCAAAGCCACCAAAGTGTTTCTTTGTTTTATTCCTATGAAAACAGCACATAATCGTCATGTTTAGGCATGAATGGGGGTGTGTTGTCATCAAAAGATTTTATTATGAAAAACTGTTGTCATAATGCTCCCAAGGCTTATTTTAGAACAGAATGATTCATATGACTGCACCAAATTTAGCTTCATTATGCAGATCTGTGTTGAGAAGAGGTATAAAATAAGTGAGATATGTATGAACTAAAAGGGTTTCGGTCACGAGGTCTATTTTATGTAAGCAAAACAAACATAATTAATTACATGACATTATATAAAAGTGATTACCATCCATGTACCAAAGGAGTTGAACTTCAAAACATCTAGATTTTTCTTTGTTAAAATTATAAAACATAAATTATGACTGTTTACATATCCTAAATATATATTATGGCAATTGATTAATCTTTAATCAGCAACTATTTATAAGGGAAAAAAGTAATACTATGTAAGAACCAGGTTCGTCAATTTGTGTGGATGTTTGTCAAAACAAAACCTGTGAACCTGCAAACTCACATCTGCTGTTCATAAAGCTAAAATCAGCTTTATGCTGCCCACACTGCTTTAAACAGTATGTTTTACAAGAAAATACTATTTCAGTTTTTAATTTAAATTTTAATTCAAAGTATTACTGGGGATTCCTTTGTAATTTACTAGTACTTTCTGTCTGAAAATTCAGTGATTTTTCAGTGTTTATGTATTTCTATATTTGTATCTTATGCACCCAAACAAACTAACAGAAAACGAAATATATAAAATAATGGTTATACATGCCGATAGGAATGTCACGATCGCTACTGTGAGGGAGTGCAGAGCGAGGAACGAGGAGACGTGGAGTACATCAACAAGGAGACTTTAATGAAATCAAGGGAACCAGGAAAACACACGTAGCAGTGGAGGTTGACATAATACCGGACCAGGAAACTCAAAACAGGAAACACTATAAATACACATGACTAGACGATGGGCTGACGAGACACACCTTGAACTAATGAAACAATAATAAGGACAGGAAAGGGAAGCACCAAATAAGGGCATAGGAGGAACATGGGGGAAAACCAGGACATGGAGCACGTGGGGAACAAAACACAAAACACAACACACGGAACAGAGTCTGACATTACTCCCCCCTCCCGTAAGGCGTGTCCCATGCGGTAACAATTCCACTGGGGGGGCGCCCTGGAGGCTGGTGTAGGACTGGGACACGGGGAATACCTCCAGGGCAGATCAGGCAGTCCAGGGTGCCATGGCGGCACAGGGAGCTCAGGGGCCATGGCGGAGCAGGGAGCTCTGGAAGCCATAGTGGAGCAGGCAGCGGGCTTGACTGAGGAATGGCCAGCAGGCTAGACTTCGGAGCGGCCGGCGGGCTGGATTGAGCGGCGACTTCCATGCCGCGGGGGGAAAAACCAGGAAAACAAAAGACTTTTAAAAAACGAAAAACAAACACGGGGAGAAGGGGCGCCGCTTACTGTCTTGGTCCGGTATTCTGTCACATTCGCTACTATGAGGGAGCGCGGAGCGAGGAACGAGGAGACGTGGAGTACATCAACAAGGAGACTCTAAAGAAATCAAGGGAACCAGGAAAACACACGTAGCAGTGGAGGTTGACATAATACCGGACCAGGAAACTCAAAAAAGGAAACACTATAAAAACACATGACTAGACGATGGGATGACGAGACACACCTGGAACTAATGAAACAATAATAAGGAACGGGAAGGACCAAATAAGGACATAGGAGGAACACGGGGGAAAACCAGGACATGGAGCATGTGGGGAACAAAACACAAGACACAACACACGGAACAGAGTCTGACAAGGAAGCTATAGAGAGTCTGATTTAAAAGACCATATCGGTTTGGTATCGTTGAAGGGGTACTTGAACCTGACTAATGGGGCTTTGAGGGTACATGTTTTGCTCATTTTGTTCAATTCGACTAAAGCACTTTTTGATGTATAGAATTTTTGCTATACAGAAACCTGCTTTAGTGCATGAACAAAAGGTACTTATCTCCCCTCACTACTAATGCAACCACAATCAGAGGAGACTATAATCACCAAAAAAGCAATTAGCACTTTGATAAAGGTGGCAATATCTTATTTATTTATTTCGTTTATTTCAGGACTAAGTCCTTCTAAGTGCCATTAAAGTCCAAAAGAAAATACTGTATTATTACTTAAATTGACTTCAAATAGAAGTTCTGACCAAGTGGCCTCCCCTGAGGCAAACCAGTCCAAAGCAATTATCACTTCCACGACACTATTAAGCCCAAATGTCTTTTCTAGGCAAAAAAGGGGATAAGATTTACCAAAGCATGTTCAACAAATAAGGTAATATTGTCTCTAGCTCCGTGGCTAAATTACACACAATCAAACATGATGGTATTCATTTTAAAATGAACTCCCAGTAGAGCAGTGGAGAAAAAAGACCCTTGACATCCTGAAAATGTTTGAAAGTAGGCTATTACAACTCACAAACGTGCAAGAAACTAAAGCACCACAGAATTTGCAGCTTTAGGAACTGCTCTTGTGGAATCAGGATTGGGAATTCATGCAGGACATTTGGTGGTACTTTACCAAAGCATGTTCAACAAATAAGGTAATATTGTCTCTAGCTCCGTGGCTAAATTACACACAATCAAACATGATGGTATTCATTTTAAAATGAACTCCCAGTAGAGCAGTGGAGAAAAAAGACCCTTGACATCCCGAAAATGTTTGAAAGTAGGCTATTACAACTCACAAACGTGTAAGAAACTAAAGCACCACAGAATTTGCAGCTTTAGGAACTGCTTTTGTGGAATCAGGATTGGGAATACATGCAGGACATTTGGTGGTACCACTGTATGGAAACTTAATTGTGTAAATGTATAGCTCTCAGTTATCTAAAAGCCAATTGCTGGTGCAGTGTGAACTGGCCTTAATACAAGTCTATAGATTCTGAAAAGTGTTTAATATCCAAAATGTGGCACTCAATGGTAAAATGATGAATAAAACCACCTATGAAAGAGATCATGACTAGAGATTATAACTGATTAGAAATGACTGGCAGACAAAAAGTTGTCAAAATAAACAATTTGTACACATATTTATTATATTACACTTTGATTAAATAACTGAAAAACTGGTCTCAGAATTGTATATGAATGATGTGTTGTTGAAAGGAAACAGTGGATGAATAATATGAAATCTTTGGTTTCTTGAGGCAATGCTCTCCAATCTTTAAAACCAGTAGCAGTCTTTTTAGAGTCTTTTTATCAGTACGACACTAACAAAGGGATGCTATCATAATTCATTAGACTGACATGGAAAATATGCTATACAGGAGAACAGTTTTGAAAAAAATCATGGCTATTCAGAGAAACTAAATGGCCAGTGATTTTTCTGAGGTAATGTAATTGGGATACATCATTCTATTGAATGCATTCAGAAGGAAATGCTGAATTTGCAGATCCAAGTTGTGAGAGATGCTTTTCTACCATTTATAGGATTTATAATTTATAAGATTTAATATGATTTATAAGAACAGGCATATTGCATTTTTACTCCGGTAATATTTTCTAATATACTCTTTTACAGCTGCAAATCAAGAAACAAATGCCTACTTAAAAGAAGTGTAAAGTTGAAACTAGTTAGGGGGAATAATTAGTACTTTTAAACATCATCAAGTTTATTTCAGAAAGGCTAGATAAAGCCTTTCAAATAGAGGATTTCTGAAGACTTGTTAGTAGCAATGTGTTTATGCTAAAGAAAATGAGAGAAGAAAGTGACCGGTGGGTGAACAAGAATGCTACATTGACTTCTTCTGTTTTTATTTCCACTAATAAGACTGAAACATTGTTGCCTTGATAAGGACTCTTAATAGGACAAATCTCACCTGACAGCATAGTCCTTCTCATCTTTAATGAACTCGTGCAGATCTCTTCATTTGTGGGCTCCAGTAGAGAAGGCAGCTTATCTGCAGAGTACCGTAGTGAGGCCAGACAAAGTTTCCTCTCTTGACCCTGAAGTGTGCAGCACTGCTCGATGCCTGGATATTTAGGGAATGGTACTTAAAAGAAGTGTAAAGTTGAAACTAGTTAGGGGGAATAATTAGTACTTTTAAACATCATCAAGTTTATTTCAGAAAGGCTAGATAAAGCCTTTCAAATAGAGGATTTCTGAAGACTTGTTAGTAGCAATGTGTTTATGCTAAAGAAAATGAGAGAAGAAAGTGACCGGTGGGTGAACAAGAATGCTACATTGACTTCTTCTGTTTTTATTTCCACTAATAAGACTGAAACATTGTTGCCTTGATAAGGACTCTTAATAGGACAAATCTCACCTGACAGCATAGTCCTTCTCATCTTTAATGAACTCGTGCAGATCTCTTCATTTGTGGGCTCCAGTAGAGAAGGCAGCTTATCTGCAGAGTACCGTAGTGAGGCCAGACAAAGTTTCCTCTCTTGACCCTGAAGTGTGCAGCACTGCTCGATGCCTGGATGTTTAGGGAATGGAGAGTCCTTTCCGCATGACTTCTCAGAGATCTCTGTAGCCTTGGATAGAGATTGCTATGTAAATAAAAAGCAAGCAACACAACACAAAAGCAAAGGCAAAACAAAACCACAGTACTGAAGATATGAACAATTTTGTCTAGTATGTGTGACGTCTATAATGAAACGCGTTTCATTACAAATCCATTCATCATGGTTGGGGATGTGATTTTAGCTTTTAATGTACTTCTCATTTAGTATAGTTTCAATAAGCCGTAATGGTCCTTTAATGGCATTAAGACAATCGGATACATCATAATGGCTATCATATGTGCTATGAACTTAAGTCTTCAGTATTTTGAGGTAGATGAGGAAATTCTGCTCAAGTAATTATTTTTTAATGAAATGAATGTAAGCTGTCCCCAGGGAAAGACAATGATACAATGAATGAAGCAGCGAGTGCTGTGTGCCGTGCGCCCACACCAACTAACACGCACTGTAATTAATTTGCATTGAAGTGTGCCAAGGATTGGGCCTGGAACTGACAACGGGAACTTTCCAGAGTTGAGCTGGAGTTGCCTCTAGTCAAGATATATATTATTATCTCCATGCACAAATTAAAGGAGAGTTTTATTTGTATTTTTAACGTAAGAGGCTTTCTTTGAAAACAAAGCCTGCATCTAAGCAACAGTATACCACAGATAATAAATGCATTCTCCAAACCACTTATCCTCTGTAGGGTCGTGGGTAAGCAAATATTCCAGCATATCACTGTTTTTATGAAAACGTGTCCTGAGGCATCTGGCACCAAGACATTAGCAGCAGATCCTTGCAAGTTGTGAAGTGGTGCCTCCATGGATCAGATTTGTTGGTCTAGCACATCCCATGGAGCGCAACTGGATAGAAATCTGGGGAATTTGGAGGCCAAGGGAACACTTTGAACTCTTTGCCATGTTTCTCAAACCATTCCTGAACAATTTTTGCAGTGTGGCAGGGTGCATTGCTGAAAGAGGCCACTGCAACCAGGGAACACTATTGCCATGGAGGGGTGTACGTGGTCTGCACTCTGCAACAATCTTTAGGTGATACATAACATCCATGTGTGCCAACAACTGTGGCACTGCTCACATTCAAACATGTTTTTATAACAGCTACATTTTTTTCTCCTTATTTTTTCTCTTTAATGAGACCAGAATTGCTTAATCACAAACCCCAAATAATGGCTAAACTGCCTCTCTCCCATCGCTGGTCATATCAGTCTTATATGAATTGACAGCCACTGCAAAGGTCTGGCTAACACTAATGTGCTTATACGGAATGAAAACAAGCTTGACAACAGGAACACATGGAAATGTAATTAAATGAACTTAGCTGTAGCTTATGATGAAGACTGAGCCTGAGAGATTTAGCAAGATGAGATTTATACAGTCAGGCATAATAAAAAGTACAACCTGTCAATGAGAAGACCATCAAGGGTGAAAGACTTCTGAAACGATGGGCTGTGTGAGTTAGGGATGTAATTAAGTTAACTACCTCCAGAACTTCCACAGTAATTAGAATGAGCATGAGTCTATTTGAGGTATGCTGTGCTACATCTAGCATGTGATTCTGCTCCAGTTCTGCTTAATGTTCATGCCTCAGAAAGCACAGCCTGGAAGTAATTGATAAAGAGTGTATAAACTTAGCATATCCTACATTTAGCTATGGTAGATTTTGGTATCTTAATGGGTTTAGCTATCATCAACTCAGCCCTTTAGATATTAATAAACAATTGAATGCATTTAACTTAGGCCTAGCACACTTTAACATTTAAATATAGGGTCATTTTAAATCATGGGTTATCTTGTTTCAGTTCACACTTGGGTTAGCAATTAATCCAATTAATAATGGGTATTCAGGTTTCACAATGTCACACATGTCCACTCTTTGGTTAACATGCTTTTGCATATATTCATGAAGTCAATAAAATGTATTTGGTAATTAAGCTCAACAGCTGCTTTATTAAGTAAGCATCCATCTGTGCACATGTCATCCACTCTGTTTTAAGTCTCCAGATGCACGCAAAAACAAAGGCAAATAAATACAGAGTTCTGGCATGAAACTCTAGATGGCGCAGTCTGATAGGTCTAACTCAATCTGACCTAATGACATCATCACATGGCACAGCTGATTTGTTCTCTCCTGTATCGGTAGCCAATGAGCTTGTGCTCAACATTCAATATATGACTAGGGCTTGCCGTAGCAGTCGCAGCTTGCTTCAGAACAGCGAATGCTCTTCCAATCCATATCGCTGTGCGTATTGTGTGGTCTGCCTAATTGAATTCAAAAATGAGCAACCATAATCAAGTTTAAACTAAGTGTCATGTTAGCAGTTTGCATTGTATGCAGGAGCGAATATTAAGCATACTAGCAGCAGCTGTGTTTATACAGCTGGAGCAAAAGGCAGTTTAGAGCATATGTAATTGCTCTGAAGACACGCTGATAGCAACGGACATGAAACAGGTTAAATGAAATAAGCATTATTGTATATGCATTTCAAGGGGGGTTCGCCATATACATCGGCGATTATCCCAGTGTTCACGTTTGTTAATTCTAAGGTCGATGTTTTCATTGTGATGAGTGTGTGGTTGATTTCAGCTAGTGTTTTGGCTTGTATTGTCCCTTCTATGTTTCCTGCTTTGTGGGGGGTTATTTCATGTAGGTTATATTTGCAGCAGCAATATTTCTTACATGCTCACAGCAGCATGTTGTGGATGTTTTGGCAGTAGCAAGTCTCGGTACTTGCTCTGCCGCAGCAGCAGCAGCGTAGCAGATCTATTCCGCCAAGACCAAATACATTAACATTGTCATGTACATTACCATGCCAATCCCTCCGAGAGTTGTCATGACAGAAGCAACCATAATCAAGTTTAAACTAAGTGTCATGTTAGCAGTTTGCATTGTATGCAGGAGCGAATATTAAGCATATTAGCAGCAGCATTTAGCATCTGTGTTTATACAGCTGGAGCAAAAGGCAGTTTAGAGCATATGTAATTGCTCTGAAGACACGCTGATAGCAACGGACATGAAACAGGTTAAATGAAATAAGCATTATTGTATATGCATTTCAAGGGGGGTTCGCCATATACATCGGCGATTATCCCAGTGTTCACGTTTGTTAATTCTAAGGTCGATGTTTTCATTGTGATCAGTGTGTGGTTGATTTCAGCTAGTGTTTTGGCTTGTATTGTCCCCTCTATGTTTCCTGCTTTGTGGGGGGTTATTTCATGTAGGTTATATTTGCAGCAGCAATATTTCTTACATGCTCACAGCAGCATGTTGTGGATGTATTGGCAGTAGCAAGTCTCGGTCCTTGCTCTGCCGCAGCAGCAGCAGCGTAGCAGATCTATTCCGCCAAGACCAAATATATTAACATTGTCATGTACATTACCATGCCAATCCCTCCGAGAGTTGTCATGACAGAACTGCAGTTAACGTGTTTCCCGTTACTTTTCTTTCTAGACACTGGAACTAAACACAGTTGCAAGAAAGTTTTTTGACCGTGCAAAAAGCACATTATTATTTACTAAAGTCAATTCTGAAGACATTCGTCATGTGACTGATCACTCGTCAAATGCAGCAGACAGCGAAAAATACTGGGCCAATTTCACGCCTTTGAGACTTCTCAAAAAATAAATCTGTCACTGGTAAACCATCTTATATAATGTAATGAAATAGGCTACTATGAAAAAATATTTAGTCAAAGTACAAGGTTGATTTTTTTTTCATTGGTGAAACATGCTTTTGGCCATCATAACTAGTGTAGTTACAGCATCTACCAGCATAAAGAGGTGATTATAAACAAATAATTCCTCAGTCCCTTTGTCTCTCTCGCAGGTTTTTATTAAAAGTGGTGCTAACCCTCTTTAAAAATGACAAACATTCAATTTATATGTGATCTTAACCCAGGGTTAATAAAATGATTATAACCCATGGTTAATTTGAGAACTGAGTGCAAAAGTCAACTTTTGTGCTTTTTCTCTTTGTGAATAGATTTGTATTTGAGTAGCTCTACCAAGTAACCAAGAATTCATTTGAATGAGTTCAACTTGTCGCTAAATTCTGTTTAGCCACAAAACATGTCTTTACTAGGGGTGTAATGATATGGATCCATCGATATGGATTGATACATCGATCAAATGTTTAGCGATATAATGTAGCGATGGAGCGCTTAAAAAACGATACCAGTAGTATAAATAGGTACCTTTATTTTGACACTGTCCACATTTTCACATAATGTCTATGAACTTATTTTTGAACTATGGTTCAAACTCACCTGTCAGGGCTCGGTGATAAGGACTGCCTGAAAGGCTAGGGTGAGCATAAAAGATGCTCGGGACAGTTGACGGAAGTGTCGAGTGCTGTGTGAGAAGTTTTCTGTGTGCACACATCCGAAGCGCACACATACAGACAGCTGCATCTCAGACAGCGCACGAATATATGAGTTCTCATTCGCTTCTTTTTGTGCTTGGACGAACAAATACAGTCAAAATTACATTAAAATGCATGTCTTGGTGAATATCCTAGTAAACACTGTTGGTTAGGCCTATGTCTTAATGTAAACCAGTGATCCTCAAATCTGGCTCGCGAGATCCACTTTCCTGCAGGGTTTAGCTCCAACCCTAATCAAACAACTAACCCTGTGATTTTCTAATGATCTGGAAGATATTGATTAGCAAACTCAGGTGTGTTTGATTAGGGTTAGAGCTAAACTCTGCAGGAAAGTGGATCTTGCGAGCCAGATTTGAGGATCACCGATGTAAACAGTTGAGAAAGAAAACGCATGTGTATCAGTATATTGGATCCATGCTTTTGGTCCTAAAGTGAAAGCAGACTAATAATAAACCTGCCCATAGTAGCAGCCAAAAAAGTTTCAACAGCTTTATTTTTGTAATTTCTTTGTATTTATTTTTCTCCATTAATGTATTTTTTTCTATAACTAGAGTACCTAATTTTTGTTGTTTCCTAATGAGTATTTACACTATATTTTACACATTGCACATTCTAGCACAGAAGCCTGAAAGACTTTCTTGATTGTTGTCCCGTCATAAGCTTTCATAAAACTACTGATCTCATGTATGAGTTGATTTTTTTTTCAATTATTTATTTTTCTTCATTATTATAAAAAAAAAATAAAATAAAAAAGTGTACGCCTATTTTTTTGTTGTGAATGTCCCAATTGGGGTATAAGATATGGAAATTTGAGAAAGTAAATGTTCGTTTTATATTTTGGTTGCATTTGTGAGTTAATAAAAAAACGTTGCTGGTTGTGTAAAATAGGTACATACTATCATAATATCGATATACTCCTGCGTCGAATCACCGTATAATTTTGAGGTATCTGCAAATATCGTATCGATATCATCATATCGTGATGAACCATCTGAGTTACACCCCTAGACTTGACCATAGAGGACAACCACTTACTCCTTTATCATAGCAGTCAGGGCTGGCATCATCTTTACAGCATTTTTCTGCAAGTTTGGTCATTTCATCTGCCACACAACTGACCTCCTGGAATGTGCCATTCGGGAACTTTTGACTGTAGAGGACAGTGACCGTGCGGGAGGATCAAAGGTGAAAATAGGTTACGGAAGCATGTTCAGAGAATCTCTACTAATTACATCAGAAATGCAGGGATATTGTATGGACAAAAAGTAAATAACAGTGAAAAATTAACTGCAAAATTTATGGAATAAAATACTTTTTAAAACTTTTTAAAACTTAAAACCCAAATATTTTGCACATATAAAGAAGCAGTGAATTTATGTCCATGAACAATGGCTGAGACTTAGAATTGTGTAAATCCTCAGGGAAAAGAAAATAAACTTTATACTTGCATTTCTTTGAACTTCTCAATTCCAATAGCTTTGAGCTCTTGGCAAACATTTTCCTTGGCGTAGTTCTTGCCTGTAGAGATACAAAAAATATTATAAAGAATAATTGCATAAGCACAAAATAAATACATTAGTCAACATAGCTGTAATTTCCAATGGATTTTCTTTTATAGTGCATTTATTCATCAGCTGTTTCACAACAGCTATTACATAATTTCAATTGCCATTCTGTTAAACTTTAGTTTAACATTATTAACACAAATCCTCAGTGTATGTGTCTATATTAAAGAAACAATATTGAGTCTGGCTGAATCCTTCCTTTTACCACAGTGGAAATGTGTGCCTGTAAAACACCGTGAAATTCAATTAAGTCTGTTCTTCCTACCTTTGTCAGCCAGCAAAGCTGGGACTATTAAAGCAGAATTTAAAATGAGAGTTGTGTCCCGCATATTTTTCCCCAGGTTACAATACGATTTCAAGATGAGTTCAAATTAGGAACTGCCTCTGTATTGCAATTTTACAAGAGACAAAAGTATGCATGGTCAAAAATTAACCAGCAAAAACAGACCGTTATGTAAATGTTTAAATGCAAACAAGACTCCGGCTTTAGACCCCATGACACGGCTTGACAGCTGGTCACTAAAACTAAAACTTTCTGACAGCAGTGACTCAAACTTAAAATGACCTACAAGAACAGCTTTTGTGAACATTTTAAAGGTTATACTCATAACCTCACATCAGAGTATTAAAGTTTATCTATAAATAGGTTAGATCTGAATTCAGATTTGAGCCTGGCATTAAAGAGTGGGCTAAAAAGCTCTTGGAAAAAAAAAAAGGATATATTAGCTTTCACTTTGATATTCAAGAAAGCTTTTCGTTCTTCTCACAGGAAAGGTTAGCAGTTATCAAAAGAGGCTTTGATATCTTGTTCCAAATGGAAGTGCACTTCAAAGTTTTAGGGAAATGCAAACAAGGGGAGTCAAGGTATTATAGGCCTATTATAGGGGTTAGCAAATTATGGTGACCTTTAATTCAACACCACAATGCCAATTTCAAGAAATTCCTATTTTAGTTGTATTACATAACCATACAAAATATCTCCTGAATTAAACACTTTGACATATTAAATGAAAGAAAACCTGTAGTGGATCAGCATATATACAAAGCTATAGCCTCCGACCTGTAGTGGATGTTAATGTTGCAGTAAATCAGCTGACTGACTGCTGGCTTAATACTGCCCTCTTGAACTCATTTCTGGCATAAGACACACAGTGTGTTAATTACATCAATTCTGATCAGCTTTTAGATTCCAGCAACTGGAACCTAAAAAGAGCAAACAAACCTTGAACACGAGTTGTAAAAATAAGGCATTAGGTACCTTAATTAACCTTTCAGATCACCTGAAAGAGCAATTATACAGTCCACGGTCATAAGGGTGATTCTGAAGAGGAGGAGCTAAAAAAACCCCCAGACAAAACAGCCAAAACAATGAATGAATGCGATATCTAACAAATTCCCAGTGATATATACTGTATATTTACATTTTCTATAACCCAATTTAGACTGTTTTTGGCTGGCTCTCTTTTGTTTTCTTAAAGTACTTTTGAGTTTTGTGCCATTATGTGTCATTTTGCAATGAAGTCTGTGTGACTGAGATTTCATGCATGAGGAGAATATAAGCATGCATTGGACACACTCTGGTCCATGCAATTTATCAGTGTGAAAGAGGGAATACATCTTCCTTCAGCTGTTGGGATAAAACAATAACACACCGAAATAGGATTGGTTTAAAAATAACACCAACACGATACAGGATAATCTTTCCAGTGTTTTTAACTGAGGATTTTGCCGCCCAAGGCTTGATGGAAGCATAACAAATGCAAAGAAATTATCAGCACGTTCAATTCTAAAGCCAAAATCTTTCCATTGACAAGACACACCTTTATTTTTAGGGCCAATTGGATAATTTTATTTAGCATTTTCTGCAGATGTTTCATCTTCATGATTCTCCACACTTCCCCAAGATATTTTTAAATTCCCTCTCCATCTTTCTCAAACAGAATGATCTTTTTGGCAGACAATTTCAATCTTACTCAAATCACCCCAAATAGCTACGTGCTGCTAACTGTTGAAGATCCATTTCTTTGTAACTATGGCTGCAGATTATAGGCTGTACCATGGACAGGGTTGAATCAATAGTATTGATCAACAATTCCCATCCCCGACCTGTTATGGTCCAATAATCCAAAAGGTAGAGCTACATTATTAGTTCATTTTGTTTTCAGCTCTGTGTTATGAAATCGGTTTCTTCTGTCACACACTGTTCACATTCTCAAAATAAAATGAAATAAATGTTTCAGTCAAAGTAATCAATGAAATCTGCTTTGGCTGAGAGTCTGTCCTACTTTTGAATCATCGGTCATTACTACACCACCATTTTCCAGACTTTAATAGGCCTATGGAGTTTTAGAGCTTTACTGGTTCACAATACATGTAGAAAGTATTGATTTTTAAGTATTGTGTACTACAAAGCCAGCTCAGTTCTTCTCATCACTCTTTCAGAGTGCTTCAGATCACAGTACAATTGACTGATTGTGTACACAACTAGCCTATACAGTTCACACAACTATTGACAGAGTTAATAAAGTCAAGGTCATATGGTTAGTAATCAGCAACTATTTTGGTTTGGTGAATAATTACGCTCAGACAGGCAGAAGGAAGGAAGTTAGGAAGGAAGGAAGATATAATTTGATTTTCTGGTTATTTTCAAACCATTGGTTCGGATCGCTTCTACATTGCAATGAGTCACATTATTCTGAACGGTCATCGTCGGATTCCAAAGGTCCTCCGTCACTGCATTTGCGTCATACTGCGGAATATTGTCTGTGAAGCCGCTAATGGCCTTACAATATATGGTATTCACTATTGTGAATAGCGAATGAGCGAATGATTCGGTGGTTCTGACCACAGTAAATGCACGAATGCGCAAATACAGCAATGCCACTGTTGCTTAGGTTTTGTGTGCCTAGTGTGCAGCACCGTGGCGAGATGCCATGATGGATGCACCTCTCTTTCCACAATGACAGCTTACAGTTCTCTTGATGTCGTCCTCACACTAAATTCATTACTACAGCAACCCATGAAAATGCACCGTGCAGGTGCCGAATATCAGCAGTCTGTAATATGAAAGTAATGCTAAGCACAGATTTTAGTAAGTAGATACCATACCAGGTTTGGCTTCTCCGGGTACGTCAATGGAGCCACCATCTTGGATCAGTCAACATGGAGACCTGTTTGACTGGAAGTCAACAGAGAAGACGTCAGGTGCGCTGGATAAACTGCCATGCGTGGTAACTGTCTGGGTGTAAATAACCCTCTGTTATTTGAATTAGCTTCCAGGATTTATATATTATTCTTATATTATTTAATTATGTCCTTTCTTAATATTAGTTAAGTGTTTGTTATATTCTGGAATGTTACTTTGCACTCTGTAAGTTATTTAACCGATAGAGACTTTTATTTTGAAAGGCGGCTTGACGGAAGTGCTCAGAGCCCGCCCATGCACGGAGATCGCGAATACAGGAGAGAGAGCGCGCAAAGACGGAAACGGATCATGGCGTTGGATTTTAGGATTAAACAAGATTATGAGATGCATTATTTGAATGCTTGGCCAAAGAGATCCAGAAAGAGATCCAGATTATGAGATGCATTATTTGAATGCTTGATCCAAAGAGAGAAAGTCCAGAGTTTTGCGACCTTAGGGAGCGTGATGGATTGTAGCGTGGTAAAAGAGCAGTTTCTGTTCTTTACACCATGACAATAACCATTCATTTAAAGCAAAAAGTCTACTGAACTTTTCGTGTCCTCGTCAATACGTGGGAAGCGGTCCTGACAAGATGATCATCGTCGCGGGCGATGTGTGGCGCACCGTCTCGATCAGGCTCCTGAAGTCCCTCTTCAGTGTCTCCGTCTGCCGCAGCTTGGTGTCGTTAACCCCCGCGTGAAGCACGACCGCTC